TTATATATGTAATGGCTCAATATTTTTAATTGAAACCTTCAAAACAAATAGAGACGTATTTCTCTACGATAGGCGTCTATTTTGCTTATGTAGTTTACATCTACCAAAAACAATAACAATCTTACAACGTAAACTTTTTGAATAGTTTTGGCGTTTTGAAATTAACAGCAGAAGTTTTTGAATTAAAACTTTCAGTTTATGTTGAGTGACACATTTCTCCTGATTTTGGTGCATGGTTTTCATAATCTTGAGCAAACATTATTTTTTAATAAGTGATCTTATTAACTATTATTCTCGGTATTCATTAAACTAGCTTGCTGGAGACAAAATCCTCACAATATATTGGCGCAATTTTGAGATCCATGATCCATCAAAAACAGATAGCGCCAGATACGCTGAATCATTGGGACATGGATTGTGTTCAATTTCTTTTAACCATTTTATACCAGTGCCAGGGCCAGGTTGACGTCCGAATGGGGGGTGGGGGGCGAAATATCTGAGGTTGCCCGAATTTCTAACCTAGTTATGAGAGTCATGCCCAAAAAACTTGCATCCGGGGCTGCGAAAGGGGGCGGCTGCACCCTTTGTCCCCCCATCCCCTTTGACTCCTCCACTCCCCTATTTTGTTATAGAAAGCCACGATACACTTTTATGACCAATGCCGAAAAGTCATCTGTTCACCGACCTCCAACCCAGGACAGCTAAATTTCGTTGGCGGTTGCAGGTTCTTTTTGTCAACCAAGTAATACTTGCATACCCATTAATAAAAGCAGTCAATATAACATGGATATTGAAAACAATAACAAATTTCTTCGAGATGATAATATTTCTTAACATGTTACTCTCATTTATGAAAACACAACGCCCACTTAAATCAATCTCAATACTCCAAATATTACAAAATATATTGATTTCTTTTAATGGAGGTTGAGCCATTTTCTCGACTTGGGAGCCATTCTAGACCTGCAGATTTCTTAATACGTTTAGCGTCTCGTCATTTGAATGAGACACAAACAAGAGCCAATGCACTGAAATATAACAATCTAACAAAATACAGATATTTTCGTTCCGCATTTCCAAACAAAGTCTCTTTAGCTGGAATTTCTTATTCAGAAGCTATAGCTTTATACACTCTTTCAAATAATATGAATCTACAGAAAATAGAGTTGTCCATCCTCAAGATAGGCACCATCGATCCACATGTTACCTGCAGGTTAAGGCCGACATGCATATTCGTATTTGATCATTTTGGAGCCTATGTATATCTTTGTAAATTGCCGACTATACACAATGATATTCGTATCTTGTACAATGTTTAATTGATGTACAATCTTATACAATATTTTAATTGATGTTCAATCTTGAACAATGTTTAAATTGATGTGCTATATTGTACAACGTATTAATTGATGTACAATCTTATACAATATTTTAATTGATGTTCCATCTTGAACAATGTTTAAATTTATGTGCCATATTGTACAATGTTTTAATTGATGTACAATCTTGAATTATGTTTTAATTCATGTACAATCTTATACAATATTTTGATTTATGTACCAACTTGTACAATGTTTAATTGATGTACCATCCTATACAATATTTTAATTGATGTAACAACTTGTACAATGTTTTAATTAATGTACCATCCTATACAATATTTTAATTGATGTACCATCTTGTATGATGTTTTAATTGGTGTACCATCCTATACAATGTTTTAATTGATGTGCCATCTTTTACAATATTTTAATTGATGTAACAACTTGTACAATGTTTTAATTCATGTACCATATTATGCAAAATTTTAATTGATGTACCATCTTGTACAATGTTTCAATTTATGTACCATCCTATACAATATTTTAATTGATGTACCATCTTGTACAATGTTTTAATTGATGTACCATATTATACCAAATTTTAATTGGTGTACCATCTTGTACACTGTTTTAATTGATGTACCATCTTGTACAATGTTTAAATTGATGTACCAACACAAACAATGTTTAAAATGATGTACCATATTATACAAAATTATAATTGATGTACCATCTTGTACAATGTTGTAATCGATGTACCATCCTATGCAATATTTTAATTGATGTACAATGTTGTACAATGTTTTAATTGATGTACCATATTATACAAAATTTTAATTGGTGTACCATCTTGTATACTGTTTAATTGATGTACCATCTTGTACAATGTTTAAATTGATGTACTATCTTGTACAATGTTTTAATTCATGTACCATATTATATAAAAGTTTAATTGATGTTCCATTTTGAACAATGTTTAAATTGATGTACCATCCTATACAAAATTTTAATTGATGCACCAACTTGTACAATGTTTTAATTGATGTACGATATTATACAAAATTTTAATTGATGTACCATCTTGTACAATATTTTAATTGATGTACCATCCTATACAATATTTTAATTGATGTACCATCTTGTACAATTTTTTTATTGATGTACCATATTTTACAAATTTTTAATTGATGTTCCATCTTGAACAATGTTTTAATTGATGTACCATCTTGTACAATGTTTAAATTGGTGGGCCATTTTTTACAATATTTTAATTGATGTAACCACTTGTACAATGTTTTAATTGATGTACCATCTTGAACAATATTATAATTGATGTTCCATCTTGTACAATAATTTAATCCTATAGAATATTTTAATTGATTTACCATCTTGTACAATGTTTTAATTGATGTACCATATTATACAAAATTTTAATCGGTGTACCATCTTATGTACTGTTTTAATTGATGTAACAACTTGTACAATGTTTAAATTGATGTACCATCTTGAACAGTGTTTAAATTGATGTACCATATTATACAGAAATTTTAATTGATGTACCATCTTGTACAATGTTTAAATTGATGTACCATCTTGAACAATGTATTAATTGATGTACCCACTTGTACAATGTTTTAATTGATGTACCATCCTATACAATATTTTAATTTATTTACCAACTTGTACAATGTTTTAATTGGTGTACCATCCTATACAATATTTCAATTGGTGTACCATCTTGTATACTGTTTTAATTGATGTACCATCTTCAACAATGTTTTAATTGATGTACCATCTTCAACAATGTTTAAATTGATGTACCATCTTGTGCCATTGTATCTAGGGTGTTGAATTAATAACGCTGCCTTAGCTGATACTATTTTTTTTTTATTATAGCTCGTTCACTGCAACATATACATATATAGGTATAAATATAAACAAAAGATATCATACATACATGATGTAATTATTAATACAGCTGACTCGATTATACTTGATATTTTCAAACACTAATAATAACATTTTATAATTCCTTTTAAGTTACACTAATAAGAATAGATAACACTAAATGAACTTACAAACTATTGGCACCATATAAACAAACACCCCAAAGAACATACAAAACTTCTAATATTGTAAAGTATCCTTTAAGCAATAGACGCTAAAAGCAATCTAAAGATTGAAATATGGATGTAGAAACACCGAAGTAAGTAGCAAGAATGATAACCAAAATACTTGTAAATAGTAATAACAAAAAGTAATCAGGTATAGTAATGAGTAGCAATAGAATAAATCACGTGATTGACATCTAATTACTAATAAATATTTATCGACAGGACATAACGATAGGCATAGTTATCCAGGTAAAAAGAAAAAATAACACCCAACGATCGAGGCACAGTCTCCAGAAACGACATCTTGAACGATGTTGCAATTGATGTGCTATCTTATACAATATGTTAATTGATGTAACAACTTGTATAAAGTATTAATTGATATACCATCTTGTATAATATGTACTCATTTTGTCAAAGCTGCCTTTGACTACATAGCAGCTTATTATATGTAATGTTCCTTCGTGTTGACTTGAATATATCCCGCTCCAAGAAGTCCATTTGAAATCTTAGCTTGAAATTCCTGAAGTCAGTAATTGAGTTACATATACTTTTAGACCCTGTTATATTCCCACAAGTCTATTTCCCGCTCTGTCTATACTGCAGACGATTCTACTTGGAAACTATAATGCTGTTTAATAGGTCTTACTGAAGCTTTATATATTTCATTCAAGCAGAATAAACCCAATTAATTGCAATGTGTCCTCTTTCCATATAAGTAACATTTCCCATACTCCAATATAGTATATAATGATTCAGTCGTCGAAATATTACCTTACCAGCGGACTGAATTCAACTGCGGCCACCCATATTTCTCTACAAAATCAGTAGGACGCAAAACTCCATTCATTTCATTTCTACAAAATCAAAATTGTTTTTCTTACAATTCTATCAAAACGTACTGCACAATTTGAAAAAGAAACTCAATGAGAAATTTTAATAACGTCAATACATTTGTGCCGTCTCCTTATTTATGTTTCTGTCATTATATAATATTATCACATGCTTATCAACTTTCAATATATTTCTGTAACATTGTTATAGTTAATTATCGTTTTCAAACTTATTTTGGTAAATTTCGTTTCGGATAAAAGATCAATATTTAGTCTACTTTCATTTTCACTTTCTATTTTCGGTAGAAATCAGTTTGTTGTTGCTTTTATTGTTTTGGATTCAATCCACCTTTTTTCTATGTCATCCATCGTTGGTAAACCAAAGTGTGAGTAGGATTGTGTTCTATAATGATTATATTTGTATTATGCATTGATATTTCTGCGATAAAGTGCAACTTGATGGTTTTTGGAGTGACAGTCTGAGCAAGTATTTTATGTAAACATCGCTATATTTTGAGTGTTTTCATTGCATAACTTACCGTTATATTGAGTCAATATGAGAACTGTTTAGCCTTTGTATTGTCAGTATGTGTAACATTGTGTTTTATGTTTGTTTCAGCTTTTTACCTCGTTTTCTTCTCAATAAATCTATGATACTGAGAACTGGTTATCTATCTGCAAAGATCCCTTGCGGAATAGTAAAAAGACTTTGATAATATTTACACCAACCGATGTACGGACTTCGTAGGGAGCGTCCACTCACAGAAAAGGGTAAAATGATGTTTGATAGCAAATGTTCTACACAACAACGCAACTGTGACACGTCATGGAACCGTGTCGAAGATTTGATAATTAGTTTACATGAATGCAATGACGTCAAAAGTCTACGTAAACTAGATTACGACATAAATCAAGCATGTCACACTTACTGTAAATCTGTAAAACTTTATCTCAAAAGAGAAGGAACTGCAGAAGCTAGCGCTGCCTTAGAAACCTTTAGTCCACACTTTGATAAATGTCTAGAAGTCGTGAATAAGTGTCTCACTGATCTGAGGAACAAAAAACTTGAGCTTATAGAAACAATATCTCAATCTGGCGCCTCAGTGCAATCTGGAACCTCAAGTAGCAAAAGAGCTAAAGCGGCAGTGGAACAGACCAAATTGGAATATGTCAGACAGGAAGGTGAACTCCTGAAGCAAAAGGCTGCGATTGAAGCCAATATAAGCATCGTAAAACAGAAAGCCGTGGCAGCTGCGGCTAATATTGAGGCTACCTACGACGAAGATAAAGTGGAAGAACCGAGAATACCTGTATCAGACAAAATGCAGGACGTTCAGATTTTCGTTGATGAATCAAGGCGATTCACTTTGCAATCAGATTCTAATCAGACATTTCCTTTATCTATGTATGCTCCCGTCGCTTCGGCTAACGTAAACATTCCGCCTAATCCTGTCAATGCTTTCGATGATATGGGAGAGCTTTCTTCAGCGCCTTTACCGAACTTACCTGTTTCATCTCCTGTGATTATTCCACCCAGGAATGTAAACTTTAGTGCCCCTATCAATCAGCCTACTCCACCAGAATACTTACCTTATGGTTCCCAAGGAAATATACCGCCTACCAGCGTTAGTGCGCCAGTGCCTCAAAACTTACCTGAGACGAGAAGAACACAACAGCCGTTGTATAGTGCGGTACCTCAAAATCAGAGTTTGATGAGTGTGACGTCAGACATTACTAGATACATGTTAAGAAAAGATTTCTTATTAACACGCTTTGCTAATTTCGATGATAAACCAGAGACTTATCCGTCATGGAGAGTATCGTTTCAGAGTATCATCAGAGAGCTTCAGGTTACGCCTTTCGAGGAAATGGATTTGCTAGTAAAGTGGCTGGGACCCAAATCGTCACAATTTGCTAAGAGTATCCGTTCAGCAAATGCACATGACCCACCCCGCGGAGTAACTCGTATATGGGAAAGGCTACAAGAACGTTTTGGTAGACCGGAAATGATTGAATTTTCCATTAAGTCGAAAATTGCGGCTTTTCCAAACATGGCGAAGGACTACACAAAGTTATACGATCTTCTGGACATTCTTACGGAGATCGAATCAGTAATGGTATATCCAGAATATACAACCTTGCTCAGCTATTTTAACTCTTCTACAGGCGTATCACCGATAGTTAAGAAACTATCGTATTCCATACAGGACAAGTGGGTTTTTCATGCGAGCAGATATAAGAAAAGGTACTCTGTTGCGTTTCCACCATTTCCTGTATTTGTGGCTTTCATACGCGAAATGTGTGAGATCAGAAACGATCCAGCCTTTTCAAACTTTGTTCAATCATCACCTGCACCGGCGAAGCAAAAGCCAGTGGTTTTCGCAAGGAGAGTAGACGTGAAATCATATAGTAAAGTCGAAACACGCGACAACAGTGACAACATGGAACGGTGTCCAGTTCATAAGTCAACAGGTCACGATCTAAATCACTGCAAGGCTTTCAAGCGCAAACCTATCCCTGATCGTAAGAAGTTCCTGAAAGACAAGGGTATTTGCTTTCGGTGCTGCCTCTCAAATAGCCATGTTGCGAAAGATTGTGAAGTGACACTTAAATGTCATTATTGTGGTAGCTCTAATCACGCCACAGCGTTACATATCAACAAACCACGTCAGCAAAACGAAGAATCAGACTCTGACGACAAGGAACCGTCACGTACTGAAAGCAATGATAATTCGAATTCGCCTTCTGAAGAGACTGTTATTACGAGATGTTCTGCCGTATGTGGAGATATGTTACTCGGTAGATCTTGTGGAAAAACTGTTCTTGTAGATGTATATAGTGAAAACGCCCCGGACAACGTGGTTCGTGCGTTTGCCCTAATTGACGATCAAAGCAACCAGACTCTAGGCACACCTGATCTGTTCGATCAACTTGGGATCAGTGGCCAAGTTACGACAGTTGTCATGTCAACATGCTCAGGCAGTGTATCTATGGCGGGGAGACAAACAACCCAGCTCTGCGTCCGATCAGCGGATGGAACAACTGTTGTCAAGCTACCTCGAATAATTGAATGTGACTCAATTCCGTGTGAATATCCAGAGATAGCTACACCTGATGTTGCTCAACAACATTCTCACCTAAATGGTATTGCCAACTACTTACCTCGATTATATCCGGACGTTAAAGTGATGCTTCTCATTGGTCGTGACTTACCGGAAGTGCACCATGTTCAGGAACAAATTCTGGGTAACGATAAATCTGGCCCATTTGCACAGAAACTATCCCTCGGATGGGTCGTTATTGGCGATGTGTGTTTGGGGAGAGTTCATGCTCCCAAAACGGTAAATGTACGTCGAACGAACATTTTAGAAACCGGACATTCTACTACCTTTCCGTTATGCGCAAATCGTATTGAAATCAAGGAACAAAACGAAGATTTGTTTATAAGAACTCCGTCGGATAACAAGGTAGGACAATCAGTCGAAGACAAGCAGTTTCTTCGTATTATGGAGTTCCATTTAGATGATTCAGGACATTGGAGTGCTCCTCTACCATTTAAGGAAACGAAAGAACAGTTGTCTAATAACCATAGTCAAGCTTGGAAGCGAGCACAAATCCTAGATGCGAGTCTTCGTAAGAACGCCACGAAACAAGAACATTTCATGACATTCATGGACAAAGTAATTAGTAGTGGAGCAGCAGAGGAAGCACCCACAGGGGCAACAGGTAAGTGCTGGTACCTCCCACTTTTCGGGGTATACCACCCTAGGAAGCGTCATCAGATTCGTGGGGTTTTTGACAGTTCAGCAGTATTTGAAGGGAAATCTTTAAACAGTGTACTCATGAGCGGTCCCGATTTACTCAACAGTTTAGTTGAAGTTTTGCTGCGTTTTCGTAAAGATTCTATAGCTGTAACTGGTGACATAGAACAGATGTTTTATGTTTTCCATGTCAACGAAAGCCACAGGGACTATTTGCGATTTTATTGGTATCGTAACAATGACTTTAAACAACCGCTCATTGAATATCGAATGAAATCACACGTGTTCGGTAATACGCCATCTCCAGCCATAGCGACGTATGGCATTCGTAAAGCTGTGGAGAACAGCGATCACGATGTGCGTTCATTCGTAAATAATGACTTTTACGTGGATGATGCACTATCGTCATTCGCAGATAAAGATCAGGCTATCGACTTACTTAAACGAACTCAGAAACACCTTATGGACAACGGTAAGATTCGTTTGCACAAGATAGTTTCGAACAATGTAGAAGTGATGAAATCTTTTGACAGTAGTGATTTAGGAAAGGACCTACATAGCCTTGGTTTGTCGTGGAATCTTGAATCCGACATGTTCGTCTTCTCAGTAGATAATGCCGATAAACCTTGCACTCGCCGCAGTCTTCTTTCGTCCGTCAATAGCATCTTTGATCCGATGGGATTTTTATCTCCGTTAACTATTAGTGGAAAGATGCTTTTGCGAGAACTGATACCCCCAGGAACAGACTGGGATGAACTGTTATCCGAGGAACATTCCATAAAGTGGCATAATTGGATAGAATCTTTGAAATCTATTGACAGTTTTAAAATTCTCGAATGTTTGTCGAGTCGTCGTTTTCATTAGCAGACAGTGTTGAAATCCACATGTTTTGCGACGCATCTGAGCAAGCCGTATCAGCAGCTGCGTACATGAAAGTGGTTGACAGCAATGGAGATGCGTCAGTAGGCTTCGTTATGGGCAAGTCTAAGCTTGCGCCCCTCAAAGGCCACACTATACCCAGATTAGAATTGTGTGGGGCAGTTTTAGCGATTGAAGTGGCAGAATTAGTATGTACTCATCTTGGACCTTCACCTGATCTCTGTTTTTATCATACCGATAGTAAAGTGGTGTTAGGGTATATTAGTAATATTAGTCGTCGTTTCTATACCTACGTCACCAATCGTGTGGAAAAGATTCTCAGATACTCAAAACCGCAACAATGGTGTTACGTTCCTTCTGAAAGGAATCCGGCGGATATGGGAACTAGATTTCTCACCGTTTCCTACGTTACTGATCGACTCTTGGATTAAAGGACCAGAGTGGCTTGTGTCGACTCAGATTAGCAATACTACTAGTATCAATACTTCTCATGTACTTGTTGATCCGAACAATGATAAAGAGATCCGTCCTGAGATCGTAACTCGCTTGACTAAAGTGAAACCTGGACTTGATCTACGTTACTTAGAAAAATTCTCATCGTGGAAATCTTTAGTGAGAGGTCTCTTATGTATCAAACATGCTCTTCGTAGTCGCAGTGACAAGTACGAAACTACAGCGAACAAGGACGTCGATCTTCGCGAAGGTACTGAACAATTTATCGTGAAATGGACTCAAAATGCTGTGTATAGGAAAGAAATCGACAGCTTAAATAGTCACAACGGATATGTTTCTAAGGATAGTAAAATTGCTCAATTGGATCCGTTCATAGATGAAACCGGATTGATGCGCGTCGGAGGTAGACTAAGACGTTCGAATTTCGATTTCAAGGAAAAGCATCCTATTCTAATACCAGGTGATAGTCACCTTGCTAAATTGATTATTGTGCGTAATCATGAACTATGTCATCATTCGGGAAGACACATTACCGAAGGAACTATTCGAAACTCAGGTTATTGGATTACGGGACTCAAAAGGAGACTTAGTTCAGTAATTTCTCAATGTCTTATCTGTAAACGTTTTCGCGGTAAAACTATGATCCAAAAGATGTCTGATCTCCCAGAGGAGAGATTACGTGCGTGTCCTCCGTTTACTTACGTCGCAGTTGACTGTTTCGGTCCATGGGAAATTGTGACAAGACGCACCAGAGGAGGCAGTGCATCCTCTAAACGTTGGGCAGTCATATTTGTATGTCTTTCGTCCAGAGGTATCCACATCGAGATCATAGAGGAAATGACTACTTCGTCTTTCGTAAACGCCTTACGAAGATTTATATCTGTCCGTGGAAAAGTTAAAGAATTCTTTTCTGATCGCGGTTCGAACTTCGTGGGAGCTGTACGGGAACTCGGGATACCAGCTATATGTGTCGAAGATGTTGAAATAAAAACTTTTCTAAATGATCAAAATGCAGTATGGAAGTTCAATACGCCTTACTCTTCACATCATGGAGGCTCATGGGAACGCCTTATAGGAACTGTTCGTCGGGTGTTGGACCCAATTTTGTATGAAGCTAGACATCAGAAACTTACTCACGAGTTATTATGTACATTTATGTTTGAAGTTATGGCGATTGTAAACTCACGTCCGCTCGCTCCTATTTCTCCTGATCATGAAGCTCCGAATATGTTGTCGCCGAACTCACTTTTGACTCAAAAAGTTGGTGATTCAACTGAAGACTTCAGTGGTTTAACCATTCGAGATGCGTATTCTTCACAATGGAAATTCGTTCAAGTGCTCGCTGAGAAATTCTGGCATCAGTGGAGGCATGAATATATACAATCGTTGCAGTGTCGTCGAAAGTGGCAACAGCCTCAAGAGAATATTCGGGTTGGAGATTTAGTGATCGTAAAGGAGAACGATTTACATAGAAATCAGTGGCCTGTCGGATTAATTGAATGCGTTTACCCGGGACGATCTTGTGAGAAAAGTTAAACTTAGAGTAATTAAAGATGGTAAACCACATGACTATGTTAGACCAATAACTCAGGTTGTGTTTTTATGTCATAATTCATAATTGAAAACGTATGCATCTTTTCATTAAGTTAAATTTGGATTTGGAAGTTATAGTGATTTTTGCGAAATCAGACGGGGAGTGTGCCGTCTCCTTATTTATGTTTCTGTCATTATATAATATTATCACATGCTTATCAACTTTCAATATATTTCTGTAACATTGTTATAGTTAATTATCGTTTTCAAACTTACTTTGGTAAATTTCGTTTCGGATAAAAGATCAATATTTAGTCTACTTTCATTTTCACTTTCTATTTTCGGTAGAAATCAGACTGTTGTTGCTTTTATTGTTTTGGATTCAATCCACCTTTTTTCTATGTCATCCATCGTTGGTAAACCAAAGTGTGAGTAGGATTGTGTTCTATAATGATTATATTTGTATTATGCATTGATATTTCTGCGATAAAGTGCACTTTGATGGTTTTTGGAGTGACAGTCTGAGCAAGTATTTTATGTAAACATCGCTATATTTTGAGTGTTTTCATTGCATAACTTACCGTTATATTGAGTCAATATGAGAACTGTTTAGCCTTTGTATTGTCAGTATGTGTAACATTGTGTTTTATGTTTGTTTCAGCTTTTTACCTCGTTTTCTTCTCAATAAATCTATGATACTGAGAACTGGTTATCTATCTGCAAAGATCCCTTGCGGAATATATGCGCTGCCTTTCGTCGTTTTGTATAAAATGGTGACAAGTAGAAAAAACAAAAATATATTTACACACATACTCATGGATATTCACGGTTCGTCAACCATAAATATATTGTATTGTCGGCGTACTATATAAACTCTGGGGCTTTTTAAAACGGGTCAGAACTAGGTTAAAGGTTAAAGGTTAAATTGGGTTATAGTATATACAGGTATACTGTTAAATACAGGTATATTATTCAAATTCGGACGACTTGCTTTTTTTCGTAATTGTTGAACTTGTATTGTGAGTCGTGGCTACTTAGTTACCATTATTATTGATATAGTAGATTCTCTTAAAGGTATGTTGACATGGTTGGGAAAGTTAGATGAGGATTATGAAGTAATGGGCATACCCTGTCTCGTGACCCACGCATGATAAATTTGTTGTAGAAAATGTACTCTAGTGTGGAATGATGGAACATACACTTCGTTTAGTTTAAAGATAAATTCTCTTTCATCCCTCTGGATCACAAACAGACAACTCAATATTATGTTTTGTATCCACCTATGTTAATGTTCTGATGTCTCAGCTTTGCTAGGACAGATTCGCCATCCAATTCGCCGTCGTATTGTTGCCTGAGAAACAGAAATCGTTTAGCTAATCCGTAATATTGTTCTCAGTTTATTAATTACCATCCCCATCACTCTACCTCTTTTATCTTCTTTACCATAACTCACTTTGTTTATTAGCATATATTCTCTCATCATGACTTCTCATTGTTAATGTTATATCTTGTGTTTGTGACATTACACGCAAGACTTCCTCACATGATAATAGAGACTACAACATTGTGAATCGGTGTATATCCTCTAGTTTCTCAAACAAATCAATAAACAATGTACCTTATCGAACTAAGATAATCGAGGCTAGAATAGACTCAAACATAAATACAAACCGCCATTTCAACTAGAACAAAGAAGCAGTTTAAACTTTGTATTCATTAAGTTCAGTTTAGTGGAGTGAGTTCAAATCAAGAAGAAAGAAATATTATAAACAGATTTCAACTATGAAATAATCAGTAAGTTTAGTTTTTTTTCACTTGAAGGAGTGTAATACATATATATATGGGGACCTATTAGTCTTAAAACTCGACAAGTGAAGGGCAAGGGCGACCAGTGGCCGTTAAAAAGCATGGTCAAACTTTTTTATTTGAAAGATTTTGCAATGCCCTACATAATATGCTATTTACATCCAAGAAGTGTATGAGGATTAATCGATATGTAAGACAAAGCACAATTTGATCCACTTCACATAGTATTGTAGTCGTAATTATCCAGACCATAATCTCACATTATATTTTACAGAGCCTGGATGATCGAGACTAGATTGGAAACCACCTTACTATAATTAGATATAAGAAGAGGAAATCGGCTTGAAAGAAGAAAACATTTAAAAAGATTTTTGGAATTCAGTAAGTTGAACTTCTGACAGTAAATAACACCCACCCACGAAACTGACCACGAAATTGAATT